AAATGACTATGTAATATTCAGTTTAAAAAAAATAAAAAATTAACCGCAGCTTTAGGCTATTTAATTACCGATCGAAATAGTCCATCCATCCATCCATCCATCTATACACCGCTTAATCCTCACTAGGGTCGCTGGGGGCTGGAGTCTATCCCAGCTGACTTAGGGTGAAGGCAGGGGACACCCTGGACAGGTCACCAGTCTATCACAGGGCTACACTTAGAGACAGACAACCAAGCACACTCACATTCACACCTACGGACAATCTAGAATCACCAATTAAATTCAACATGTTTTTGGACTGTGTGGTGAGGAAGCCGGAGAACCTGGAGAGAACCCACGCTGCACGGGGAGAACATGCAAACTGCACACAGAAAGATTCAAGTGCCCCCACCGGGACACGACCCAGAGACCTTCTTGCTGCGAGGCAACAGTGCTAAGCAACTGCGTCACCTTGCAGCCCCCGAAACAGTCCAATATATTTTAAAATTCATAAATGATTTAAAGCAACAACAAACAAACAAACAAAAAAATAGCACGTTTAAAAAGTTTGATTAATGTAGAGGAAGAACTTCAAGTAAAAGTTAAGAGCAAGTTTTGAATAGTAACCTGTTATGTTGGTTGTGCTACAGAAAATACAGAAACTGAGTGCTTGCTATTTTTTGCATGACTTTAGGGGGTTTCATAAGACTACAAAATAGATAGCCAACAGTTTAAGAGACAGGTGTGTCAGATTCAGAGCACATCGACTAACATCCAATCCTAAAATCAAGAGTCTCTCAGCACTGCCAGATCCACCTTGCCAGATCCTGCAGTTTATGTCAGCTGTTGCTGGGCTCTTAGTCTCATCAGCCTCTCCTCCTCCTCCAGCTACTCCCTGGATTCAACCTGCTCGACGCAGGTTCCCACACTCTGGACTTTCTGCTCAGCCACAGTTTTATCCCTGTTCTGTGTTGTGGAAATTATACAAAAAGTCAATTCACAAAAAGGATGTGCCCATGAGAGCGATTGACTGTAATAACGGTGTGCATGTGGGACTCATGAATTCAAAAGACAAGAACCAAAGATCTGTCTCTCATACCCCTCCCAGCAGAGAAAAAAAGGTGGAGGATCAGTCTTTTTTTTCCCCCATTCGTGAGGCTCCCCAGGCCTCCACAGAATGATGTGTGTGGGCTTTCAAGAGACAACATAAGGCCTCCTGTGCAGTCCAAGGCCTCAGGGTGGCCTCAAGAGTGGATGATGGACAAACCTTAACATATGTCCATTCATCAGTATCTATACCCTGCTTAATCCTCACTTGGGTCATGGGGGGCTGGAGCCTATCCCAGCTGACTCAGGGTGAAGGCAGAGGACACCCTGGACAGGTCACCAGTCTATCACAGGGCTACACTTATAGACAGACAACCAAGCACACTCACATTCACACCTACGGACAATTTAGAATCACCAATCAACCTCAACATGTTTTTGGACCTTGTGGGAGGAAGCCGGAGAACCTGGAGAGGACCCACGCTGCACGGGGAGAACATGCAAACTCCACGCAGAAAGTTCCCGGGTGTCCTCACTGGGATGCGAACCGGAGACCTTCTAGCTGCGAGACGACGGTGTTCACAACCGAGTCACCTTGCAGCCCCTCCTTAACCTATAATGCATGAAATATGAAAAATAACAGTCCAGCCAATGTCAGCAGTAAAATATAATATACTCGTGAAATCTGGAAGTTCCGTTACACTCTGCATAGCCAGCCACCAACCTGATTCTTCAGCATTCATTCATCCACTCTGCCGTGCTCTCCGATATCCCATCCTTCCAGCCTGCAATAAATATTTATCTCACTTCACTCCCCTCGCCTCTCTATCTATTAATCGACTCTATCTAGCTCACTCTAGCTTGTGATATGGCTGTCTGCTTATCAAAACGTGTCTGAACAGTGAGTTCAGCTCGACAAGCAAGTGTGTCGCCAGCATTGAGCGCAGCGTTACTCAGCAGTTTCGCTGAGGTGATTAAAATGACCTCAAGGCAGTTCAGGGTGTAAATTAGAATTTTTATCCTACACCCCTGCATAATTCACTAGATGATTAATTAACTGATTTCATGGAAAATCCTGAACTGAGAAATGCAGAGGTTTTATTTTAATCGAGTTACAAGCATTTGACAATGGCAAGGAGGTGATATTGACCCTGTGGCAGTTCTAGCGTTACTTCATACAACAGTTCGAGGCCGAACGAGTGATCGAGTGTGAACTGTTGCTTGCATCAATGCCGACCCATTCATCTGCCACAGATTTCACGTATCACTCCTTCGTGTATGGACGAAACGGGCTCTAGGTTGACTGTTTCGTGACAGAACCTGTAGCATCTTGGTTCCTGCAGCAGCTATAAGGGAGACATTGAGGAAGAAAAGCAACTTCCTCACTTCTTTTCCACAGCGGAAGACACATGTACAATTTGAGTAACATACTGTAACCGCTGATGTCCTAAAGAAAAAAGAATGTTTGTTTATGATGTAGCAGCTTGTGATCAATGCTCATTAAGATATTATTATTACTTTTTTTTTTGGTTGCTGATTCTGCGATTGAACAATCGCATTGCAACAACTTACAAAGCGATCTGACTTGCACAGGAACATAGTTTAACTTGACTGTATCCTCTCTTTGATCTCCCGTGTTGTTCAGTCACAGTCTGGGCTTCTCATCCTTTTAATCTACTGCAGGTCTGCAGTATTAGATGAGCACTTTAAAGTGGTGATTCAACCCTGTGCATTGGGCTTCAAAGACTGAGTCTGACAGCTGTCAACGAGCATAAATGAATCCACAGAGCCCTGAATACACAGAGGAGCAAACTTAAGAGCCACAAAAATAGTCTGGACTATGTGGGTGTGAACAACGTTTTTTGATTGACATGTCCTACTCTCTCCTGAGTTTAAGGCAGGCAAACTTCCAACTTTATCATTCGTATTAGCTCGCTATGTTCAGTCAGGCAGCGTGGAGGTGAAATCAGACCAAACTTTTACCTTCATTCAGGTCAAAGAGGAGCCTCGAGCCAAACGAATCTGCTTCCTGTTGCTGACTGACCCACTTATGTTGCGTGGAGTTCAGCTTGATTGACACGCCGGGCGACGCGCCAACATTTTGATGTCACAGTGTGAAAACTATAAGCAAATTAAATAAAACTATTGATGGGTGGATTCCGCTTGTCATTGTTTATGTTATCAGTGACACATGCACCTGTGCTTTTCCTGCTGCGACAAGTCAAAATGTGGAAAAAGTCTCTCTGAAGGTGCCCTGTGGTATCTGGCGCCAAGGTGTTAGCGACAGATCCTTTAAATCCTCCAAGTTGTGAATTAGACGCGCCTGTGATCAGAATTTTTTTCTGGGCACATTCCCTTGTCGCTGCTGCATGGTCAGTCCTTCCTTTGCCCATGTGTCAGCATGTGCTCATCGCTGCCAAACTGGACTCTTCAATTACCCACCAATGTATCGCAGATCTTGACATGAGGCATTGTTGTGACACATCAGTACTATTCCCTCCCTTTGTGGGTGGCTATAATGTCTTGGCTAATTAGTATACAGTAGGGTAGAGGGCTGATTTCCCACAAGAGGTCTCTTCTCTGTCATTTCTACAGCAGCCATGCAGATCCATCCATCCATTATCTATACACCGCTTAATCCTCACTAGGGTTGCGGGGAGGCTGGAGCCTATCCCAGCCGACTTAGGG